CCTCCACGCCCTTCCGAGCGGCGTCGCTCCGCGGTGCCGGGCACAGCCGCGGCCTCGAGCTGAAATACCGCCGGGACTGACGGGGGAGGCTTTGCCCTGCTCCGGTCTCGGGACTTTGCAGAACTATTTTGTTTCCTCCTGTGACCCAGCGGTTCTCCTGCAGCTGACAGGCCCCTCTGGAAACCCAGCTGTCCAGTGAAACTTGGCGGGTCATCCCCTCGTGTCTTTTAAACTGTTAGCTGTTGTATAAGAGCTGGTTTCGTTGGTGTGGATTATGATCTCCTTGAGAAGCGTGTTAGAGGATTGAAGTCGTAGCAGCAGGTGTTGGTATGAAAGGTGTAATCCGTCTGGGGAGGAAGAGTTGGCAAACAGGCTTGACTGCTCAGTGTTCCTCTTCGCTGCCAGCATTCCTCCAGCGGCTCCCTTGTTGTCCAGTAGGTTACGGTGTGGGCTAGTGAAGTCTTTGGGTCCGAGGGACATCAGGTATAGGTTTGCCAAGAAGAAATCGGTTCTGGTGTAAACTGACAGTTACAGTCGCTGGACAAACATGTAATGTCGTTGTTCTCTAGTGCTCTGCCTAATCAATTCTGTTTATTCTCAGGTGTAGGAGTGGTTCCATTCCCTTTTGAGTAGGGAACAAACTGCATTAAAAAAAAAAGTTATGTGCACTATAAATATATGTTTGTCTATAAGTTTTTTTTTTTCTTCTTGAGGAGTCGTTTATGTTTCCAGAAAATACTTAGAAAAGTGCTCTGTTACAGGCAGATGAAGTTTCTGTTGAATTGGTGTTGTATTTAATCCAATGATTCTGCTGATGACAGGGAAAAAGTATGACACATGATATGACAGTAGGTATAAATAATAAAAGTAATCCGTTAATGAGACTACCTAGTGTAGAGAAGGAAAAGGTGCAAAAGCAAATTACTTAAAACTTTGGTTTTCATTAGCGATAACGTCAGGGTTTTTGAAGTATTTTAGAGCGATGATGAAGTACTGCAGGAGTTTGCGCTTGCTCTGACTGCTGTCACATAGTGTGTACCTCAGTGCTGGTGAACATCGATATAAGGTTATGCTTGGCAGCAGGTGGCTTTCTTGGTCCAGGTGTGATGGAACCTTAGTAATGCAGTGTTGTATAGAAGTTAGAAGGCCTTTCCAAGAAGCAGCATTTGAAATAATGTACAATCACAAGTTTGTGTTTTTTTGTTTTTTTTTTTAATTACTGTTGTACTAGAAGAAAAACACTAGAGAAAAAGATATCTATAAAAAGCCCATGGGAGGAGCACTGCTTAGGAGTGTTGCTGTTACTTTCTATTCTTGAAGTAGGAGAAATTAGTAGAACGTATTACTGAGCGACACACTACTAAGCCTCTTCTTAAGTGAGTGTCATGGTTTAACCCCAGCCAGCAACCAAGCCCCACACAGCCGCTCGCTCACTCCCCTCCGGTGGGGTGGGGAAGAGAATTGGAAGGGTAGAAGTGAGAAAACTCGTGGGCTGAGGTAAAGACAATTTAATAAGTAAAGCAAAAGCCACGCACGCAAGCAAAGCAAAACAAGGAATTTGTTCCCTACTTCCCATGGGCAGGCAGGTGTTCAGCCATCTCCAGAAAAGCAGGGCTCCATCACGCATAACGGTGACTTGGGAAGACAAACGCCATCACTCCAAACGTCTCCCCCTTCCTCCTTCTTCCCCCCAGCTTTATGTGCTGAGCATGACGTCACATGGTGTGGGATATTCCTTTGGTCAGTTGGGGTCAGCTGTCCCGGCTGTGTCCCCTCCCAACCCCTTGTGCACCCCCAGCCTGCTCGCTGGTGGGGTGGGGTGAGGAGCAGAAAAGGCCTCGGCTCTGTGTAAGCACTGCTCAGCAGTAACTGAAACATCCCTGTGTTATCAACGCTGTTTCCAGCACAAATCCAAAACACAGCCCCATACCAGCTACTATGAAGAAAATTAACTCCGTCCCAGCCAAAACCAGGACAGCGAGGCACTGTGAACGATGAGAATGTGAAAGGAGACAGGCTGATGATTTTGAGTGTATTTATTTCCTTTTCATAAAATGAGGAGAGTGTATTGGGTTATTTTGGGAAGCTGATGGTTTCAGTAGTTACAGCACTGTAAGCTGCTGTAATGGTAGGTACCTTGTAGTAGACACTGTAGCCCCATGTAAGATTGAATGACTAAACTGCCTAGAAATTCCACTTAATGATACTGGAACTTGGCTCTCCTTGTCTACTGCAGACCTTCTGCATAGTGAGGATAAATAGTCTAACTTAAATGTGCTGTTACTTGTTTTTTTGTTTGTTTTTTTTAATTGTGATTGATGTGGGGTAGTAAACTGAGGTGAAGGCACTAGAGAGCATAAGCAGTTGTAGATAAGTTTCCTGTACTGAAATCATTCTCCCCTCCCATGTAGCAGAGCTAGAAGGAGTGGGTGTGATTTGGAATAAACAAAGTCTAAAACACCTTGAAAGGCTTTTTAAATGACCCTCCTCTGGGAAGCTGGTACTTGTGAGGTTATTAGCTTTCATCATAAAAAGTATTTTAACAGGTGAGTGAGACTGGAGACAGTTTAACAATAAGTCTAGGACAACACCATGTATCACTTATTACTGCGGGCAACTGGATAAAAGAGCTCTGTGCAGGAGAATCTCTGTGGCTTAACTAGAGCTAAAATAATGTTTTATTTGGAGATATAAACCATTCTTAATAGCCTGTAAATAGGCATCTCTATAATGAAAAGCTTTTCAAGGAAGCTGGAAGTGTACTGAGATGCGTAGCTGCTTTCTGAAAGGTGGAGTCAATGACTGAACTCCATCCAGCACCAGTTGTCAAGCTTGTAGAGCAGTTCCCTGTTTCACTGGTAATAGGTTAGGCTGTTATTTATGTACATGCCTCATTCTTTGTCCTGCTCAACTCCTGCATCTCATATCTCTGGTTCTGGAATAATGTGATTTATATTACCTAGTCTTAAAAAAACACCAGCCAAAATCGAACAAACAAAGAAAAAAAAAATCCCACCCAAACCCCGTAATCACTCCAGATCCCAGCTAATTGTCTTCCAACCTGTACGTCAGATTCCAGCACTTTTCTCCCTTGTCAAAGTCATAGCACTCAGGTGCTTTCTTTGTGCGTCAGTTCCTCCTCCCTCTGGTTACACTGAAGTTTTCTGAGGAAAGGTCTTGTACCTTCCTAGCCTAGACAGGAGATGGGGAAAAGTGACAACATCTTCTCACTGCTGTCGCAGGGCATGCCCCAGTGCGGTAGCCATGCTTTGATTTTCTGTTTTCAGTGGCTCAGAACGATGTGAGACTCTCTGGCTGCCGAAGAGGAAAAATATCTGGAGGAATCATGTTTACTGGAATGTTTGAGATTATTTTGGGGTGGGGAAATGAACTAATTTTCATCACTTTTCTGAATGGTGCTTGCATTTTTTGAATGCTTGGCGGCTATATAGTCTAGAAGGATACTTATGATATCAATGTTTCTTCTAAAAATTTACTATTGCTAGACTTCCTTTGGATAAATCACCTGGCTTTTTTTTTTTTTCTTTCTTTTAACAAGATTGGCATTTATTTTCCTTTTAGGAAGATTTTTGATCATAATGTTACCATTTTCTTGATAAACTAATCAAAGCAATGGGTGAACAGATGGTGCCTTGCTTACTGTAGAAAAACTTAGTGTTGACTACAATAGAAGCCTGTGCCATTCTCTCTGTTTCTCTGACATGCTATGAATTGCCTTGGTCAATGTTGTACAACTTCCTATGAAAGAAATTGAGTAAGGTGAATTGCCTCAAACCCTTAGTTAATGTAGCCAGAAATGGGGGGGCGGAGAGGGGAAGGGAAAGTAGGAGAACTGGAGGAAATAGGCTGTGCCAGACAAGGGGTGCTGTAGATGAGAGGTTTTGCACAAACAATAGCAAGACTTTAAAAAAAAAAAGAAGAAAGAGAGAGAGAGAGAAAACCAAGCACGTATACAGTAGATGACACACTGAAACGCCAAACACTGCTGAAGTTTTTGTTATTGAACTGCTGATCTAAAGAGCACTAAGCCTTAGTGCTCATAGTGAAACGATTAAATAAGCTACAGAAAAACTTCTGTGTTCTGTGGCTTTGTCTATTCCTGGTGGTGTTCCAATGCAGATGAAAACAAAAGGACACATACATGATGCAAACTCAATGGGAGGATCATCTCTTTCACTGGGAATGACAGAGATTTTTTCAAACTGGAGTGCTTCAGAAACATGCAAAGTCAGCAGTGCATGCTAGGGGCAACACTTAACCGTAACTACAAGAGCAAGCCATTGTAGTACTGTCCAGTGCTGGACTTGAATGGTGAAGTGATAACTTTTTAATATTTGCATGTGTAGAAGATCTTTCTTGATGTGCTAGGCCGATGATGGTCTGTTTTTCCAGTTGGCAAGACATAACATGGAATGCAGAATCTAGAGTGTCTTTCTAGCAGAAAGAAGGCAGGAATTCACGCACAAAAATTATTTCATAGACAACTATATTATTGTCCTGGAGTCTAAAACATAATAAAGCTTTGGCAGTTCTAACTATTGTCAGTCTTAACTACAAGAAGTTTTCTTCTGAAGTTACAGAGGTATAAAGCTGGCTGCAAAATTAGATCTGAATCCTATTTATATATTGAGTCCTGTTTATCTGTTAGAATGCATATTCATTCTGTGTATTTTTAGGGTGTAAACCAGAGAGGCCTGAGGACACTCTGAAGACACTGAAAAGTTGCAGTCCGTTATTTGGAATACACGTTATGAACCCTTTCTGGAGCATGTCTACAAGTTCTGTGCGCAAGGTAGATATTTAATGAGTGAATGCCATAAGGTGTTAACATGCATTGAGGGGCAGTAGCAGTGCTGGAAAAGACCATCAGATGATCTACAAATACAGTTGGAGTGTGTGTTTTATCCCGAGGATTGTGATCATCTTCAATGAAAGTGTAAGCTAGCTTTGAGCTGTATTAACTGGAATGTGACTGTGGATGGAGTCTACTCCAGAATTTGTCGACTTTTCTTATCTGAAGCATCTTTAAAGGAAAGATGAAACAAACTTGTTCAAATGGTTCAAACACTTATTTCTTAGGACATTTGTTTACTGTCTTATATAGACCTTAGCCAGGTATTGCACATGCAGCAGGCGTTGACAAAACTGCGCCTCCATAATGCTATTGCTACTTTAGATTGTGTGTGTAAAAGCATGATAGTTCTGGGGTTAATCGCTTCTCAGGTGTTCAGTGCTAGGGCAAATTATATAACTTTGTTGATGATGCTTGTGACGTAGGTATTGTTACGTCCAAGTCTCAAGCGCTTTGAAACACTATAGCCTAAATCACACCTTCAGTCACCACAACTCGCCTAATCTCAAGTCTGTAGCCTGCAGGTTTGTCTTGGAAATCTATAGAATGATTTTGATGCCTGTATGTAGTACAGTCTTGTCTAGCAGTGTAGCAGTGACCAATTAAGTAGAAAAGTTTTTTGTTTTTTTTTTTTTCTTTTTTAATAAAAGACAGCATAGGCGTAAAAAGGTTGCTATAGCAAAACTGTTTAAACTGGGCTTGATACCACTGTCAAACGGTGATTATCCTGTGGTGGGAATGGGCTATACGATCAGCTCCCAGTGGGATGTTGGTGTCTTAAGCACAGGCAGGAAGTGAAATACATGAAGTTTTCGGTAGAAAGTTCTTATTTCATCTCAGCTTTACGACACTACTTTTAAAGACTCTTTGAAGTCTAGAACGTGAGGATGCTTGTCAGTGGAAATGATTTATCTTGATGCACTGTGTGCTAGAAATAGATTGACTTCTAAGCTGATGTTACATGCTGTCTGGTTCCAGTTTCTAAATAAATGTAAGCCACGTTAAGCATTTGTCCTAATCTGTAGATTTCCTATCCAACATTGATTACTTTTGTACACGGCAGGGGGGTTGGACTAGATGACCTTTAAAGGTCTCTTCCAACCCAAACTATTCTATGATTTTATGATTGTAGGCTAGGTTTAAGTGAATAAAAGTCTATTTAAAAACAAAACCCAAAGAGTTTCCCCAACTCCCAAGCAATAGAACACCGAAACCCAAAATATGTTTCAGTGGCCAAACTTGCAATTAGCAAGGTTGGGTTTAAACCTGTGTTAAAATATGTTCGTATGCTAAATGTTTATGAAATATGGCCTGTAATCTCGTGGTTCTTTTTTATCTAACAGAGACCTGAGGCTGAAGAGAAAACTTTGAGTGGAGAGCTGCGAACCAGTCCTCTACGAGCCTCTACAAAGAAACAGTTGCCTTCTATTCCAAAGAATGCTGTGCCAATAACCAAGCCTGCTTCACCTGCCACATCATCCCAGTCGACAAATGGAACACATGCTTCTTATGGGCCTTTTTATTTGGAGTATTCCCTCCTTGCAGAATTGTAGGTTTTCACTTTTTTGTCTTTTTTAGGTCACTGGGCTTATGCTTCAGTAAGAAAATAAACATGCAGGGATCTGGTTCTTGCACGGTGTCTTTGCCTTAGTCCTTGAAGAAAGCAGTAAAACTTAAGTTCCACAAAAAAATGTTGTTTTTCTGGAGCAGCAGCCTCAATTTCTTGAGGTAGCAGTGGAGAGGAAAATGAGATGAGATTTTAAGGGTGTGTTTAGATGTGATTCTCTGAATTATTACATTTCTCAGTCTTCCAGTAAACACACGTCGGGTTTAGGCATCCTGACTAGTTATCTTAATAGCTTTTTGGTCAGAAATACCCAATTTTTGAAACCAGTATTAAAATAGAAGCAAGCAGATGTCTAGTGGGAAGATGGTTATGAATGTATGGTACTGTCTAATGGAGTTAGGATGTGGGAGCTTCCTTCAGTTGTTACATGGAACACTTGAAGGCCGCCTGGTATGGCTTATTAAATGGATATTAGGAAGACTATATTCTTTTCTGTCTTTCAGTGATACTTACCATGAAACTTATGAGGGAGGAGTTAGTGCGATTTAAATAGCTTTCTTTGGATCAGTTGCATTTGATCCAGTCTAGTGATTTGTAGACTGCTGTGGGAGCATACAAATCTCTATTTGTCTGCAAAACTTCCTAGGTATATAAAGTTACATAAACTGTTTTGTGCTACAAAGCTGAAGGGACTTCCTCTGTAACAGACATACTGGATTCTCAAGTATGTCGTGCCTTTTGGAATGAAATCCCTGGAGTCCTTACGCAACACTAAGTCTCAGTTCTTGCATTTAACCATTAAATTGAAACTGAGAACTCTCAAAACATGAACTTTTTTTTTCAGGGAACTGACCCCGACTTCTTAATTCAAGAAAGATGTTTTTCTTCTGCAGCATGCAAAAATATATTGGTATCACAATGTAAACTCCTCTAGCTTAACAAAGTCATTAGGGATATAATAATGAATATTATGGAAATTGTAAGCAGAGAACTGTGTTAATATTTTGCCTTAAGATTATTGTTTATTTGTGCAAGCATGTGGAGTTCAATTTAATGGGCCTATATGCCAAGTAACTGGAAAAGCTATGATGTGAATAATTGTTTATCATTTATAGTGTTCAGTAGAATCTGCATACCATATAACTACAGCTGGTTAAACTTACTAGCAACTTCTTGTGTTCGTTGATTTGAAAAATAGTAAAAGTAGCACATTTTGCCCTGGTAGTACTGTTGATTATCAAATGGACTTTCCTAATAGGCAAAGGGAGAGGAAGAAACATTTCATAATGCACTGGTCATTGATGACTGAAGATCGTGACTGGATTATCATCACAAGAAGTGAAATAGCAAATAAGTGCAAGTTTGGGAAAATTACTTGGTCCATCCTGTTAATGAGATGCCTGGAATCACTTGATCCGGATCTCTAATATACCCTGCTTCTTGACTGTCCTTTTTATTCTCTGTTACTTTGTTTTGTCAGTTGCCAGTGTAATTTCTGTTTGACCTGCAGCATAATCTCATCTAAAACTGGAAAACTACTTGTTTAAAATTGAAGTTAAAGCTTTGGTCACACTTCAGAATTAACTACAATTGACTGCAAATCTGCATTCAAAGTTACTTAATTGCATTTCTTTTTTTCTTTACTTTGAAACTGGGGATTTAGTAGATAAGTGGAAATTTCAGCACTGACATGCATTGAATGCATCTACTGGGGGAAGAATTTATTTCTACTTCTCTACTTACAGTTTTATCAGGAGAAATAATGTTTCCTGTTAGTAATTCTTTAAGTGGAGGGGTAGGAAACGCAAGAGGGAAAGAATATGGTTTCACTCGTTTTCTGCCACCTCCTTCTGTGAGCAATCTGCCCTTGGGAATTGATTGTAAGTTTGTGAAGAAGTCCCCTGTTAAGCTATTGGTAGCACGTTCTGTGTTTACTGTTGTCAGCTTGCTGTAGATTTAGTGTAGTTGTGGAGCTGTTCTAAATACTGATTCTAATTGCAGTACCTTGGTTGTAAAGCAGAAATTGCCAGGTGTCTATGTGCAGCCATCTTACCGATCAGCATTAAGTAAGTTGAAACTTAACTTTTAAATTTTTTTGTGTATATATATTTTTAAATTCTTTCACTCAAGCAAACTTTCTCACCTGCAGTGTGGTTTGGTGTAATATTCATAAGAAATGGGCTCTACCAGGATGGCGTGTTTAAATTTACTGTCTATATTCCTGATAATTACCCAGATGGAGACTGCCCGGTAAGTGGCTGTGTGTGTCTTGGGTTTAAGTGTGACTTTTTGTTAAAGCTAATATACCAATTAGCTTCTCATTTTCTTGAACTAGTTTTGTTCAGCTGGCTGGGCTCATTTGCGATGTCTTGTACATATTTCCTAACATCTGTGGAGGAATCGTGTTACTCTGATTACTGAGGCTGGTGCAGAGTGAACTTCCTGATGTTAGATGCGTTAGAGTATTAAGTAATCAACCAGTTCTTTACCTCAACTCTTGATCTGCTACTTCCTTGGCAAGGAAGTTTATGTTGAAACGCTTAAAGAAGTATCCAGATTCTGAGTAGCGATATAATGGAACATAAAATCCAGGCACCTGTGCTGTGCTTGCTGTAGTGCTACAGGATTTCTTGTCTGTCTCTCTTCTAAATTACATTGAAACGAACTAAAAGAACTTGAGGAGGACGTTGGTGAAACAAGGGAGAGTGAGATAGGTAGTATGGCGTTACCTTCCATCTCTGCTTTCTCTTTTTAGGGAAAAGTATCCAAGTTATTACATTAATTAAAAAATAATAATCTTGTGGCAATCTGACTCTCTAGAGCAGAGCAGCCGGCCCTCTTGGACAAATTTCTTTAAGAGGAAGACTGGGGAACAGGTGTATGTAACTGCTGTAGCTGAGAACGAGTTGCTATGTCAGGAAGCTGTCTGCTTGGTGTCAAGTTTTGTGTAAAGCTGTCATCTTTAAAAGGACAGAACTAGTAGAAAACAGTTTCTTTCAAAGATTAGACTTTAGTATCTCTCATACAGCCATCATTCTTTTGCTAGCGTAGGGCTTTAAAATCTTCCTGTTGAAACTAAGTTTTCTTTTGGAAGAATGCACGAACACCAGAGGAAACTAGCTGTCCAGAACTGAAGACACCATGGTGTCACTGCACAGTTTACTTAAAAATGTGTAGGGTAAAAAAAGTGTTGATTGTAGCTCAGGTATGTAAAAAGCTTTCAGTCACAAATAGCTAAACCAGAAAAACTCCTTTAATCTGATCTTATCTGATGATATTACCTGTGTTGGCACTACTGCTTGTGCAGTTAGCTGGATTAGTTTCCTGATTTGGTGATAAGCATGTGAGAGAGGACAAGACCCTGCATGTAACATGGGTGTGTTGGGTTACAGTTTCACAGCTGGTATAAATAACTTCAGGTTGCTTTCTTTTAATACAGTAACAATTAATTAGTATTTGGAAGCAACATCTGACTGACCTTCACCCAGTGGTTTTAACATTAGGACTGAAGTTCTCATAATGAATTTCTCTTTTCTAATGCAGCGCTTGGTTTTTGATCTGCCTGTCTTCCATCCGCTAGTAGATCCTTTATCTGGTGAACTGGATGTGAAAAGAGCATTTGCAAAATGGAGGTTAGTGGTAACATATTGATGTATAATTTGAAAGAAGTTTGTTCCTTTCTTCATTGTGTTTTGTTCTTCTTAGGCGAAATCATAATCACATATGGCAAGTATTAATGTATGCTCGCAGAGTCTTCTACAAGATTGATACAGCTAGTCCTCTGAACCCTGAGGCTGCAGTGCTGTAAGTATCTTCCATGCATATGGACATGATCTCGTGAGAGATTTTTGCATAGACTTGCGGAAACAAGAGATTTGTAAAATTGTTTATCAGTTCATGGTCTCTACCTCTAGAGCTGGTTGCACTAGGAACTGAAGTTGAGGCTTTGCCAAGTCTGTCTGTGCTTCTAGAGCAGACCGGTGTCTCCTTGCAATTACTTAACATTACTTACTTCTCTCTTGCAGGTATGAAAAAGATATTCAGTTGTTCAAAAGTAAAGTGGTGGACAGTGTCAAACTATGCAGCAGTCATTTATTTGATCAGCCTAAAATAGAGGATCCCTATGCAATCATGTAAGTACCATGAGCAAATTCACCATGTCCTAACATTTCGAGAACAAGTTTTGGTATAGTTGTTGATTTGAAGCCTTTCGCTGCCAAGCCGACTGACCTGTTTTTTCTTACATTTATAGCAATACTTTGAGTATTCCTACCCTCATTTCCTTCTGTTTAGTATTGAATCGTAAATGTGATCAGACACTTGTGTTTGCTGGTTTTTCACTAAGCAACCAAGACTTAAAAAAACCAACCCCAACAAAGCCGCAAAACCACCCCACCTCCCTCAAGTAGAGATACCCATGGAGTAAATACTGCTTTTGGGCTTTCCTGAATTCAATTTGCATGACTGTAACTTTGATTATACTTCTAAGCTTGACTGCATGGGGGATGGAACAGTCAGCTCCATAGTGAATATGAGTAGTATTTCATGTAACACCTGCTGAATTGCTGAATTCTCATTGCAAACAAAAATGAAAACCTAAATATTTCTTGTTGAAAAGATCCATGACAATGTGAATTAACTTAGTGAATTAGTTCTTAACTGTGTGTTTTAACACTGAAAACTCAGACTTGTAGTTTACTTAAAATTCAAGAGACTAAACCAAGGAAAATTGCTGCTTTCTGCTCTGTCTGTGCTGTAGTTTGCAAAAATGCAAGGTAAGAGATAACTGTACTTTCTTCATAGTTTTTCTCCATGGAATCCAGCTATACATGATGAAGCTAGAGAGAAGATGTTGACTCAGAAGGTATGTGCAAAGTCCAGATTCTCACTATAGTAAGGGTTTATTGCCTGATAAGGGAAGAAAGGTTCTCTGTCTCTTTGTGGTGAACATGTACTAGACAGACCTTATTCCACCCCTCTTTTGGATCAGCAGGCATGCTGAAACTGTTTGGTCTCCTAAACTAAGCAGTTATGTCACTGTTCCAACTTCAGTGTGTTAAGCAATTAATCATTTAGCCAGCTGGAAAGCTTTGTTAGTACAATTGTTGGCACGCGTGGCAGATTTTTTTTGTTTAGGGATGGAAGGGAGGGAAGAAGGGGAAAGAAGAGATTTGCGGACTGCCTATTAGCTTGCTCTGCACTTGTCGTGACCATTGCCGCTTCTGCATAACCTGACAGTCCCCAACTTCTTTGTTCTCTTCTGTTGAGAGATCTTTCATTACTGAATCAAAGCTTCAGGGCTTTCTTCTCATTCCAAACTCTTTGAAGCAGGACAAGCAGAGTGAGTACCTTGCTCACATCTCTAATGCTGCTGATTTCTAATAAGACAGCTAATGGAAGAGTGCTTAGAGTTACTTCTATCACGAAGCACTCTTACTCATATAGCAAGAATGTGTTGGTTCGTATAGCTTTCACCTGAGCAACACCTTTGGTTTTGGGAGAGGGGGGTGTTTTGTTTTGTTAGTTATTTCTTTACACCTGACAAGAGCTGGCACACAGCAGTTCTGAGTCTGCGCTGAGTGGCATGACAAGTCAATCCACTTGCAGTGCCTAGGGATTCTGAAATGGTGGCTGGTATCTTTGCTGGACTGGCAAGGAAATGCACTCTGAATGTTTTAGTTACTGACTCGAGCTCCTTGCACTAGAGCTGTGGTGTAGTTTGCTGCTTTTTTGTAATAAAAAAATAAAAAAAATTTTTTTTTTTTTTGGTCAGTCCAAACTTCAGTCTTCCTCACTGCAAGCTTTAACTCCTGTTCTTGCGTGTCTTCTGGCATGAATGAGATTTTTACATTGATATTAATACAATACGCTGCCTGTAAGCTTGGTGTAGCAATGTTCCCACCTGCCAGAGTCCCAGTAGGGCTTGAGGTGAGGTGGCCTTTCTCCAGCCTTAGAACACACAGGAAAATATTTTGATCAGATTCTGACTTCTTGATGTTCTTATAAAAACTTAAAAAATATTTTTGACTCCCCCCCCCCTTTCTCCTTCATTCTCTACCTCCTCCTTTCTTATCCTTTAAATCAAAGACCTAAAGAGAAAGAACAGGTTGAGGTGCTTCAAATGGAAGGGATATGATGTTGTCTCAGAGACTGATAGCAAATGTGATACCAGTGATGACTTTTCTTTTGTCCTTTTTCTTTGGAAATGCATGTTAATTTCTTTTTAAGTGAAAACTAACATCTTCAGTAACTATTGCATGTATGATACTTCAGTTGCTGGAGTAGTTTGTTGATAGCAAGAATGCCCAAAATTCTGGGGGCCAAACTTCTGTGCCTTAGGAGATTTGTTCCAAAACGTCAGTGTAGCTGAGAACGTTCTTTTCCTTCCTTCTAAAAGGAAGTTCCCTAATCATGTATCCTGTCTTTCCTTTCTTCTGCAACCCTGGATCCTTGTTTATTACTCGTGTAATCCCTGTGCCTTGGGAAACAACTAGGCCATTCTAGAACTGTAGCCCAGGAAAGGCTGTGATGTCCCAGTTCCCTGCTGAGCACATGGCTTTCACTAGGTGATGTCCTGTGTGCAGCACATGATAGGCAGGTGCTACTCTGCCAGGCTCAAGCCTAACTGATCCCTCTTGTTTGCTGTTGTCTGATGTGTTACGGCAGTTCTGTCACGCAGTGTCACCTTTTACACAAAACATGGGGAGGGACCGAAGAAGTGCAGGTTCAGTTTTCTTGCTGACTTAATTTACTTTGTCATACTATGGGAAGCCTTTTGCCTGACAAAGTCTATTCACATAATTATCCCTTTCTAGAACTTGATGCGTCATTCCAGGTTTGGTGTAGTTGGCGTACAGATGATCTGATGAGCCTATAGCAGTGTGGAGGCAGGGCTAGTTCCTGATATGCAAAAAACCTGCAAGCTAGTCTGTTTCTTTGACCTGCTAGAGTTAGGTATCTAATTTACTAGTCTTAAACTACTTTAAGTCTACAGATGCTCGAAGTTGCACCTTTCTCCCTCAACTTGAAGCTTTTTTTGTTTGTCTTCTAAATTGCAATAGTCAGTCTCAAATGTTCATTGCATTGGGTTGGGTAGAAATAGCTACTGTCCAAGCATTTAACCGTGATAAATGCTCAGGGAAGGGAAGGACCATCATTGGAAAGCATTAAGAAACTACATGGTATAGCAAAGGTATGAGTTGCTACTTTGCTATGTTAATTCGCATTCAGAAGCCTTCCGTGGCGTGGAGCGCTCCTCCGCAGTATGCCCAGCATCACAAGGTAGTGTGTTACAGTTATAACGTCAGGATTAGACAGAAATGTTTTGATTTGGATTGACACTTCTTTCTGTAGAACAGAGAAGTTTGGCAAATAGCAGTGCAGTGGTGCTGGGCCACGGCCTTCAAGCAAAAGGCACTATTCCAAGAGTATCTTTACATCTTTATGGTACGATGGGGTAGCAGCACGTGAACTAAGTCGTTAAAACTCCCCTGTAGCATCAGGGTGGTTCTACAGATGCCACACACGTTCACAGAAATTAAACCGATAGCCATTTTACTGTTCCTCTTCGAGGAGAGGAAACGATGCTAGCCTCTTTTATGGTTGTATTTGCCAAAGGTAAAATGGACGGGGAGGGACTTAAGAGGCTTTGGAGTATCTAATAATGCTGACTTTAACTTTCTTCTACCTAGAAGAAGCCAGAAGATCAGCACTGCAAAAGCATGCATGTTTCTGGCCTGTCATGGGTAAAGCCTGGCTCAGTTCAGCCTTTCAGCAAAGAAGAGAAGACGATGCCTACTTAGCTCTTCTGGACTGTGGTGCACAAAACACTTTCTGTGGGTGGAGGGAATATAATGGAGGGAGAAACAGCAAAGCAGCGGTTTCCTTCTTGACTACGGATTAGTAAAAACCGAACGGTAGCAGTGACTCCAGTAAACCTGTTCAATGGATTACTGACTCTTAATGTTTTACATATGCATTAGGTTTTAAAGGCTTGCCTGGAGTTCGGAAGTCTCTCTTGAACACTGCAGTACTTCTACCTGAAGACTGTCTAGGGTGGGTAATTCCTCAGGGCTCTGAAATGCCTGGAGGTTTTGGGTTGGTTTTTAAGCTTTTATTTTTTCCCTCCAGGAATAGCAATTTTTTAAAAAAACTTAAATTACTGGCAGAAATATTAGCATTGGAAATATGATGCCAGAGGTAAGCTGTGTTCATGTAAACTAATATAGCAGAGTTAAACACTATATTTAATGGTTTTAAATACTTTGGTTTCTATTGTAAATATATTAGAATTTGAAATTGTAAATAGATGGTTCATTGACTCCATTTAGCACTTTCAGAGGTAAAGCTGGGGATGATGTATGATGTATTATTGATTTGTAAATGGATATTGTCACTAAAGCGCACATTAGTCTGACAGGGTAAAAGCAGAATGTCAGGCTTGTTAGACTTTTATTACATAAACACTAAAATCAAAGCTTTTAATGGTGGTCTCTTGAGCTAATAAAATCTTAGAGGATTTTAGATTCCCTAGGTGTCTAGGGGATTACTTAGGATAGCTTGACTAATGTGTGTTAATAGTGACATCTTAAAATAAAAAGAAACCGTGATCTAGCTTTTGTCCCTCTGTCTGTTGTGGACATTTAGCAAAGACTGGAACCGGAGTGGAAGCACCTGGCTACATATGTACTTGCCTGCATGTGTATTCGGGGTGTTAATGGGCTAACAGGTTGTACCGAAGGGACTGGTTAAATACAGTTGTGTTCCACATGCAGGAAGACCTTCTAAAGCATGTGTGAGCTCAGGACAGAATCTTTTACTTTTTGCAAGAGTCTTCCTAGTGTCACAGGCTAGCATAATGCCTTGCTCTTGCCTAACGGGATTTTCCTGTCCAAGCCTGTAATGTTAACCCTTTACAGCTGGGCTGCTTTTTCTTTGGCTCCTCATACCTGTACTGATGGCATTAATGCAAACCCTACTGTCTAGTAACAAGTAGCAGTGACTTCATATATAAGCATGATATGGTGTTTGGGGAGGGTGGGGAGTGGTGTGGTGTGTGTTTGGGTTTTTGGGGGGGGGTATTGTCTTCTGGTTTTATCTGACAAGCTAAATACACTTGTCATATAACAACCTTTCCCTGTTTTTGAGAACAACTTCTTAGCTCTTAAGGAAATAGACAAAGACTTCACAAGTAATATGCTATTGTATACCAAATGATTAATTTAATGTACTGCTAAGGATGACCTGAGTGGTTTCTGTGCAGCACTTAACATTGTATAAGTTAAGTACTTTGTTTTAGGTAATGTTGAAATCTTAATGCATGATGTTGCTTTAAACCTTTTAAAGCTTCTGCCTTTGAGATGCAGCGGTTTCCTGGGGCTGCCTGGAGTGTCTCTAGTGCTGCTGGAATTCCTCTTTAGAGAGAAGGTGGCAGAGGGTATGAGGAGAGCAAGGATCCCCTTTCAGGCAGAGAAGGAAGTGCATCCAAAGGTGCATTTCTTGGGGCTACTCTTTCTTCTTTAACTCCCCTCATCTTATAAAGGGTCTGTTACAGGACCTAAGTTCTTGACTAAATGCTAAAATGTTCTTTCTAAACCTTAGTATATCCATTTATACTCAGTGTAATAAGAGAAATACAATTTAGAGTGGCTCCTTGCTAAACAAATTCGAGGTTAAAGTAAGAGGAATTCTAAGCATAAGTTACCAAGCGGGTGCTTCTGAGCAAGGTATTTGCAACTGCACTGTTGCCTTCAGCTTTCTGAAAGCTCTTGCTAGCTCTGTATGTGAGAGGTATGGGTCTATGTAAACTGAAGGCTCTGGCAGGCTCTGGTCATGTGAATTAGTACAGCAGATTTAAACATATTTAATGGCTTTAAATGCACTGGGTTTTTTACTGTAAACTGTATTGAAAGTGGTGGTTGAGCGCAGATCTTCCAAAAGGATATTTTTGCGAAAGTGAGTCAATCACTGGGTGAGATGTCTGTGACTTGGTATGATTTTGTAGGGCAATTAACTCGGAGTAAACTCAGTTTCTACTATCTTCAACACAAATCTGTCTCCTCTAGCTCAGAGCTCAGTCCAACTTTGTTATGAGGCTGAGAAGATGATGTGTTAAGGCAGTGGTATTTAAAAATGGATAGGGAAGTCTAGAGCTAATCTTCAGTCTTTAGTAGCTCTCTGAAGGTTGCTGCTGATAATGTTTTCAGACAATTGCAAAGTCATTACTAGAATAATTCTGTGTATTTCCACTTACGTCACTATTGCCATGTCATCCCTGGAGAAGCTCATCACAAACAATCTAGTACTTTGATGTATCAGTAACTAGAGTAAAGCCAACAGACTTGGCATAGGATGTTTTGCTGTTTGAGTCTTGAAACAGTGGCTACTGTTAGGAGAAGCTCTGTATCTGTTTCTACAGTAACACTAGAAACCAGCACCAGCAAGATAGCTTCAAACTACGTGTTGCTTTCTTGCTAGTAGTGGTGGCTTGTTGGAGCAAAACGTTCAACTCCAAACCTCGGAATAAACCTATGCAAATAAGGGATTTGAGATTTTTTTGTGGTGGTTTCTCACTTCTCCCATTCCTACCCCTTGGGGAGGAAGGAGTGGGAGGAGGCTTAGGACTTGCAAGAAGTTTGCTCTTAAAGTAGTTTTTTGAAAAAACACGTTTCATAAATAAACTGTTAAGTCCTGTCTTCAGATCAAAAACTTTGAGGAGAGCGTAAAATTCTGAATTGGCACTTTGGTTTGTATACTCTTTCCTATAGTAGGAACATTCTACCTCTTTATTTAAAGATGGTTTTTCTAACATCGTTTTTGCATTCTTTATCTGGCGTGCTAGAGTTAGTTATTTTGTGAGAACAGGACTTGGGTGGCAGGTAGCTGTAACCCTTTTATGATTTTTTCCGTGTGTCAGCATAGAAAAGAAGCAGAAACCTGTGGATCTTGGAAGAAGGCAAGCGATTTGCTCTGCTGTTCCTGTTGTCAGCTCTGTGATGACATGTGCAGAAAGACTTTCTGTCCTTCCCTCTCTTCCTTACCCACCATGGGAGAGCAAAAGGAAGCAGAAACCTTCTGGAGCGGTTGCTCAGTGCCACAGCTGTTTCTTGAAAAGCTAGTGAGTAGGAGCGCTAGAGGGTGTGAGTGTGTGTGTGTACGTGCGCACTTGTGGTTTTCCTCCTGTGTGAGCAAAGGAACAGATAACTGGGCACATAGCACTTCTCTGCTGCAGCCCTCCTGATTCAGTGATCTTTAGGAAACTACTACCAGTGTAAAATAGGGGTTTGAAACTCAATTTTTCAGTCTTTCAAAGCAAAGACTGAAATTCTTACCCTGTATTGCCAACCACGGGAGCTGTCCGGCCCACCTCCGTTGGTGAGAGGGAAATCCTGTGGGCCGGGAGGCTGAGTGCCCACTCTCAGGTGCAGTGTGTTGCCTGAGGCGGCACATAAAGCATGTGCTGGCAGCACCCGTGGCATCTCCTGGGCCAGCGTGGCCGCGTGCAGCTCCGTGGGCCCCACGCAGCTCTGCAGAGAGCTCCTGGCTTCATCTCCCAGCGTGGATGTGGTCACTTCTCCCTGGGATCTTTGCTGAAGAGATCGAAGACCGCGTCCACCCCTCGTGGAAAAGGGTGAGTGATCTCGCTGCTGATCTACTCCTTTGGGAGGGAGGGAGGGAGGGAGAGAGAGCGGGAGGCGGTAGTGGGGGAACCAGTGTCTTGCTCAGCCTCCCTCCTCTTGTACCAGAAAAAAAGCTCGTAGGGGCTGTAACAGTGGCTGTAGTGTGGGACTTCAGTTGTTTTCTGCCCCAGGTACTTCTGAAATACTTGGTAAAAGCAAAGGCTGCTGAACTGCTGAAGCAAAGGCCTTGAGCGCTCGTGCATATAGACTGGGGTTGAAGAAGGGAACTGTCCGAAGACCTCTTGTTCTCAAGAGTGTGCTTAGGGTGTTGGGCACCTTTCGCTTTTTTTCATGCTGTTTCGCAGACCTGAAGGCAGCGCACGTGGGGAACGGCCTTTCTCTGCATAGCTTGGGCAGGAGTTCAGCTGTTCTCTCACTCTGGTTTAGATCCCTCCAATGCTTCTAGATATCTTTCCTAATATCTCTTATTTAATGCTGTGCTTTGCAATTTGTGTTGTTAGGAAGGGTATGTGCAGGAAGTAGCTCTCATCCAGCTTGCACCTTCCCCAGCAGGTTTACGCCCACGGAAAGGGGTGGCCGTGTGGCACAACACAGAGAGGAGCGCTTGCAGCGGCCACAGCTGATGTCTCATGCTTAAATCAAATTATTTCTGGGAGTGTGGGGTGGCTGACAACCACTTGACAACTAGCTTAATATTTGGACAATGTTTCTTTTGTTGCTCTCTTACCTTTTCCTTGCTTCTTGCGCAGCGGATTTGCTATTAAGAAAAAAAATATATCCTTCATAGTGTTTCTGGCTTTTGTTATTTGCAATCTAGGGAACAGGTGTCTCATAATCCTAAATAGGCGTTTGTTCAGTTTCACTCCATCCTCCATGTCGTGTGTCGCTGGTCATTAACCTTTCTAACAAATAGGTGGTTTTTGGTCAAGATGACCCCGCTATTGAGCAGCTTGCTTCCAGTAGCCCTTTTCCGCTAGGGAATTCTCTAGAATGGGGTTCAGCGTAGTTGAAGTGGGCTCTAACATGGTGTGGGACTTGTAAAAACTTGTGAGAGAAACTGCCAGCTTCCTTGTAACCCGGTGCAAAGGAAAAAGAGGTGGCTCTGTGTCACTTACCTCGGTCGGTTTTCTCTTCTGTGTGGCATTAATGCCCCGTTAGCCTGTGTGTTTCGGACGTCTGGCAGACTATGAGGAATTGCAAGTGCCTTGGAATTGTTAAATGCTTGTTCTGGGTTTGCAATAGAAAACAGCAATGGAGGAACCGATCGGAGCTTGTGTTGCCTGGAAAGCGGTGACATGGTTTTTTCAAGAAAAGCATGTGGGGAGAGTCTTTGAGGGCTGGAGTGTAGCTACTCAAATGCTGTGAACGCTAAGTCTGTTGCTGCTGTTATGTCTCTTACGCTTTTCTTGGGAAGGCTGAAATTGAAATTCTAATGCTTCAGATTTAGCATTAGAAAAGTTTAGTTAAAGGACTCTTGTGTGAAGCAGAAAACGGGCCTAGCATTTTGACTGAGCACAGTGTACCTGCTGGGCAGGGAGGCAGAACTAGAGTGTTGAACTGGAATGTGGTAGTTCTTCTTTATTTGTTTTTATGATTACTCAGAAGCCTTTGTAATACATCACTGACTTGCAAGTTTCCTGAGCCTCTTAGGTGGAGGACTTGTGTGGAAGTTTAATCCCTTCTAATCTTGGGATGCTCATCTCAGCTGCAGCAGGCTAGACACAGGCCTCAGCTCCTGGTACCGTACAAAGCAGAAGAGCGCCCGTACCCCCACGCTTAGTGGTGGCGCTGGCTGAGGGGAGGGTTAGATGTGGAGCAAATCCTGGCAACTGTTACCTCAGGACAATTCAGAGACGTGGCGGCTGTCGTTTTGTTTGTCCGATTGTTGCCGGGGTTTAGAAAGCACCACAGTTAAAGATCAGTAACAACGACGAGGAGGAAGAACGATAGGATGATGTAGTAAAAATGATGGTT